TTACTGTATGATATAGCATCATCACATTCATCTTTCTTCAAGTGGACTTCCCCTAGCGTCTTGTACGCAGTCATCTCTGCCACTTTATCACAAGATTGTTGAGCGATTGCAAGACATTTTTTACTGTATGATATAGCATCATCACATTCATCTTTCTTCAAGTGGGCATTCCCTAACATCATGTACGCATCCATCTCATTTCCTTTATCACAAGATTGTTGAGCGATTGCAAGACATTTTTTACTGTATGATATAGCATCATCATATTCATCTTTCTTCAAGTGGGCATTCCCTAACGTCTTGTACGCATCCATCTCAGCCACTTTATGACCAGATTCTTGTGCGATGGCAAGACGTATTTTTCTTGTATGATATAGCAGCATCATATTCTTCTTTCTTCAAGTGGGCATTCCCTGACATTATGTGCACGGTCATGTCATTTTCACATTCCACTCCTGTGTTCTTCATGAAATRAATTATGATGTCGTCATCTAGCGTAGTTAAAGCAGAAATACCATATTGAAATAGTTTTGAATCATTGTGTTCCTGGGCTACTGCTAAGCATTCTCTGTACAGACARAYAMGTTKTTCTGCAGGCAGWCCAAGTTCCAAGTRCGTTGCAGAAGCWSCCGTAAWCCATGCTAGTGCTCTTTTTCTCTCCCTAAWATTGCTGTCTCTACTCGCGGTGTCACTCATCGTTTATCCTGTTTTGCAGTTCAGCAGCTTGCCTTAGTTTGAATACATCAATGATTACCACAGAGCTGTAAATAGCAAGTACTACCTTGAATATATATCCTCAATGAGCCGGCAATGTCATTCAAAGCTTGTAGTTATTCCATCAAGTTTGAGTCATGGGTTACGGTTGTATCTTTAATTGCGAAAAATATACTTTGGTCGCGAAGCTGTAGTTGCGTCTGTACGTCACATTTGGACTACCTTCTAATTTGGACTGAAATTGGATATTTGGTTTGCTTAGTTGTTTGGTTTACTGCAAGGTCAAACGATTGGTTTTAATTGTCTTACTCATCCTTCACCAACGGTAACATCATGTCGTACCGAAGACAAAGGGGATCCTCTTCAAAATCCAGACTCAAACGTCTAAAAGAATCTAGAAAGAAAGAAAAATAG